AGTAGTAGTAGTAGTAGTAGTAGTAGTAGTAGTAGTAGTAGTAGTAGTAGTAGTAGTAGTAGTAGTAGTAGTAGTAGTAGTAGTAGTAGTCGTAGTAGTCGTAGTAGTAGTCGTAGTAGTAGTAGTAGTAGTAGTAGTAGTAGTAGTAGTAGTAGTAGTAGTAGTAGTAGTAGTAGTAGAGTAGTAGTAGTCGTAGTAGTCGTCGTAGTAGTCGTAGTAGTCGTAGTAGTCGTAGTAGTCGTAGTCGTAGTAGTATAGTAGTAGTAGTAGTAGTAGTAGTAGTAGTAGTAGTAGTAGTAGTAGTAGTAGTAGTAGTAGTAGTAGTAGTAGTAGTAGTAGTAGTAGTAGTAGTAGTAGTAGTAGTAGTAGTAGTAGTAATAGTAGTAGTAGTGGTAGTAGTCGTAGTAGTAGTCGTAGTCGTAGTAGTAGTAGTAGTAGTAGTAGTAGTAGTAGTAGTAGTAGTAGTAGTAGTAGTAGTAGTAGTAGTAGTAGTAGTAGTAGTAGTAGTAGTAGTAGTAGTAGTAGTAGTAGTAGTAGTAGTAGTAGTAGTAGTAGTAGTAGTCGTACTCGAAGTCGTAGTCGTAGTAGTAGTAGTAGTAGTAGTAGTAGTAGCAGCAGTGGTAGTAGCAGTAGTAGCAGTAGCAGTCGTCGCAACAATAGAGAAGGGCCCACAGAGGCCCGACCGAGGCCGCAGGGCGCGGGGCCGCCCAAGGAGCTCGAGTTCGGCCCCTCCCCCGGGGCAACGATAAGGAAGGATAGGCATAGGGGGGGATGCATCGACCTGGAATCGGCGACACATCGCCGATAGATCGGCGATGGACCCCTGATAGTGAACCCGCACCTTCCTGGGCAGGTTGGGGCTATCGGGCCCCTATCGGCGATCAATGGGCGATTGGGGGTCGATGCGTCCCCCCCTATGCCTATCCCCCCCCATCGTTGCCCCTGACCAGAGCGGTCGAGATCTACATCCCCGGGAAGTGGTGGGCGCGCAGACGGGAGAAAGCTCGGGGCTGCCGGGGGCCGCCGCTCGGGGACGTGGATTTCGGATGCACAGGCACCAGGGGAAGCCAAAAGCGAGGTCATTGGGCGGCGGATTTCCTCCTGCGGCCGGTTCTCTGGCATGACCCTTGCGGGGAAAGGGGAGGGGCCGGGGAGGAGGAACATGCGTCCCCCCCGGGGGCAACGAGTGGAATACCACGAATCGCGTGCGAACAATAGTATGAGAAGTACTACTCATAAAAATATTAGAAGAATAGTAATACGAGAAATGCTGAGAACCATAGTCATGTTGATACTGATACTGCGGCTATTTATGATGCGAAGATAACAGCTACGATTGGTACTTGGCCACGTGGATAATCAAGTTCGGCCTCGCCGCCCCCCACCGCCTACCAAAATTGTCTTGGCCGGAGCTAACGAACACCGGGGACTTCAGGGGGTCTGTATATGATTTTCTGAAGTACAGGGTTTCTTGCCACCCAGGGCCTCTGGGCCCGAATCTGCCCTCATCGACCGCGTGCCAACGACCCTGCAGATGGACCCCCGCGCCCCCGGTTGTTTATCGACGAATCCCTGCCTCGGAGAGGTCCAGCCCCGAACCCAAAAGATCCGCGCGGAGCTCCGGAGATGTACCTCTTTTTCTCCTGCCTGCGCTCCGCTCTCTTCTGCTGTCAGTGCTCCCGTGCTGCTACTGCCCCTTTGAGCAGTCGGAGGAGGACGACAGGAGACAACGGCGGCTCTCCCGCCAGGCCCACAATCCGCTCAACAGTGGTCCTGGGACCCCTCTTGGAGCCCATCCTGACCCGCTTCTCGACATGGATCCAGCCGTGGAAGCGAGAAGCCTCCAGGAGGCCCAGAAAGGACGAGAGGGGGAGGAGGGGGAGGAGGGGGAGGAAGAGGAGGAAGAGGAGGAAGAGGAGGAGGAGGAGGAGGAGGAGGAGGAGGAGGAGGAGGAGGAGGAGGAGGAGGAGGAGGAGGAGGAGGAGGAGGGGGAGGTCGAGGAGGTCGAGGAGGAGGAGGAGGAGGACGAGGAGGAGAAGGAGGAGGAGGAGGGGGAGGAGGAGGAGGAGGCGGAGAACGCGGAGGAGGGGGAGGCCCAGAAAGGACGAGAGACGCCAAGGACGGCCGCCGCCGTCTTGACGGGCCCCCTCCTGCGCGTGGAGGAAAGGCGCTGGGCCGCGGGGGCGCCCCCCGGGCTGGGTGCCTTGCCCGCGGCCAGGAGGATCTTGTCCTTCCCGCCCGGGTGGTTCTGGATGAAGTCCTGGGGCACCGCCCCTTTCAGACTCCCCTTCGTCGTGTGCCTCGCCATCGCTCGGACGTCCATGTCCTGTGCATTTTTCGGTTCCGTGCGTGTGTGTTTTTTTTTGCTCGATGGTCCAGGATGGTCCTCGATGGTTCTCGCCAAAAAATATGCACACGTCCGAGCGATGCCACGGTGCTTCCAAGACGGGACGCCAGCGCGGGGGACTTCTGAGACAATCATGCGCTCGAGCGCGCCACGGAACTGCGTGTCCCATCTCTCCTGGGCGGGTCCTCGCAGAGCGCCGCGTTCGCCATAAATGGCAACGGGCGCGCGCGCGATGTGATGATTGGCCGCATCGTCGCAAACTCACCTCCGCGATGACGACGGCCCCCCGCGCATTTGAGACAACGAAGATGGTGCCGGCGCGGGCTGGGGGGCTTAGGCGGCCCACACATGTTCCAGCCACTAGAACAAAGGGATAGAGCCCCCCCTCGGCGCCACGGCTGGACGCGGCCTCGAAAACGTGATTGGTTTCGACCCAGGACCGGTTTTGAGCGAATTTGCCCTCGTCCTCAACTCCTGACCCACCATCCCTCTGGGCGTAGGTGGTTCAATGGACTGTGTCTTCTCTCTGCTAAAAGCTCCCTCCTTCCCCTCCTCACAGGGGTTCCCCTACCTCCTCCCCTGGGCCTGGGAGGGGAGGGCCGCGGGTAGTTAGAGCGCCCAAGATGGTCCAAGATGGCTTCAAGAGGGCCACAGGGGGCCCAAGATGGCCTCCAAGATGGGTAAAGATATCAAGATGGATCAACATGGCCTCCGACACACATCCAAGAGGCCTCAAAACGCTCCCAAGACGGAGAGGAAAATCAGAAAGACGTCTTTGCCATTTGCTATGCTTCCCGACATGGGGTGCTTTGGGCGCCGCGGGAGCCTGGGGTCCCGCACGCGTCTGCCCTGCTCGAGAAACGCAACTGAAAGTCGGGGCCGAGGTCACACGAGACGTGATTTTCCACGGCGTTGTGACTCCCTCACGCCGTCGGAACTCAGGGACCAATGCTCATCGATCCCCCATCAACGACAACCGTGGCATATCCCTCCTCCTCCTCCCCCATCCCCGCCCTCCTCCCTCCCCTCCACACTGCCCTCCCGTTTCCATTCCCCTTCCCCTTCCTCCTCCTCCTCCCCTTCCTCTTCCTCCTCCTGCTCCTCCTCCTGCTCCTCATCATCACGTCACCACATCATCATCAGAATCAGAATCAGAATCATAATCATAATCAGAATCCGAATCATCATCATTATCATCATCATCATCAGCAGCAGCAGCAGCATCAGCATCATGAGCATCAACATTAGCATCAACACCCTCACCTACACCCTCATCCCCGTCCTCATCCTCAACCTCATCCTCGATCTCCTCCTCCTTCCTGATCCTCATCCTCGTCGCCAGCACCATCCTGATCCTCTATTGCTTTCCCTTGTACATAAATCCTCCCTGTCGTACCCTGGGGCCGGTCAAAGGGCGGGTCAGGCGTTTCGCCTGAGACTTCCTTACCATGTATGATCCTGAAGCTTACACATTGACAGCAATTTGACAATTGAAGGGCGGGTGGTTTTCAAAATGCGATTGTCGCGTTAACGCCGCGCACGTTCGTCTTAAGCAATCGCAATAGTTCCACATATTGAGGGCGGGTCGTTTTCAAAATGTGGCTCTCGCCTGAGCGCCGCGCACACTCGTCTTAAGAATTCGCCAGGGAAATCACGGATTCAGCGCGGGTTGTTTTCAAAATGTGGCTCTCGCCGTTGCGCCGTGCGCATTCGTCTTCAACATTTGCACGGACTACGGGCGGCTCATTTTCAAAATATGACTCTCGCCTGAGCGCCGCGCACATTCGCCTGACACATTTGCAAACATGTCGCGGATTCCCATGACTGGCGTACAAAAAACGGACGGTTGGAACGATTCAGGACTGTCCCGACGTAGCAGTCATCCTTATTCGCGGCGCTGACATCCCAAGAATGGATTTTGGCACGATTCCAGATTGTCAAGAAGAAACAATCGGGCTGGTCTGCGGCGTTGTAGTCCTGATAACAATGTTTTAGCACGCTTCAGGATCTTCAAGCGGCTGCCCCCTAACAGCTCACTTTCCTTAGTGGGAACGGCTCCCTGTAAGGGCATATATAGAAGCAACTTGGAAAGAGGGTTAATTCCAGTATCGTTGATGACGCTTGGGTTTACACGGGTCATCAGCATGATCCTCATCATCACCACCGTAATAATAATCACAATCACAATCACCATTACCATTACCACCGTCGTCATCCAAAACACTATTATCTTCTCTCCATCCCATCTTTTCGCCCTCCTCCTCCTCCTCCTTCCCGCTTTTCTCCCTCACTCGGTTTCTCCTCCTACTGCTCGCCGTGCGAGCAGTTCTGAGCCGCGGACAATGTCTTTTGGTGACGGACACGACCCGACAGGGCCCTGCGGGGGTGTCCGTGATGTCGTAGACGCCGTCCTTGTAGCTCACCCAGATCCCCGACTCCTCTGCGCCGGGGGGGGGCGGGGGCCTTGCTCAAGGACATGCGCCGAATGCACCCGGGCGGCATCACTTATCGATGTGTACCACCCACCGGATGCCTCCAGCGAAACTCAAGTCGATTGGCGAATCCGACATGAGACTGCACCGCCGCCGCACTCGAATACCAATGTCGAGTGAACCCGCGCCGGCTTCCGCAGTCGACTTTGTCTGGGTGGGGGATCTCTCAATGCCCGAATGCGTAAATGGGGGGCCCTGACAAGACCAAGGAGGAGGGGGCGGTCTGAGCTTGGTCAGGGCTCCTTCTCTTCGGGGAGGTACTCGGGGGGGGATGCCCGACCAACCCAGGGAACTGACTCCCTTCTTTTTGGTCTAGCCAGGGTTTCCTGCCCCCTTGCAGGGAGTGGGGAGGCCTCCCCTCGCGCGCCTTGATTACCTCTGCCCGACCCGCCGACGGCCCTGGAGGAGCCAGGCCTGAGACAGCTCGTCTTCCGAGGCCGCCCTTTTCGTTCGGGCCGCTCACGGGCCTGCCGCCCAGAGGTCTGGCCAGCGTGCCCACGGCATGTCGGGAGGCGGGGGGGAGGGGCGAACGTCAGGGGGGAGGGGGGGGGGGCAGCTTTCGGGGGGGGGGGGGGGCGGCGGGGGGGGGGGGGCGTGGGGCAGGACTCGGCCCTGCGTCGCCGATACATCTGCGATAGGCCTCCGACAGCGCAGCCGTAGGGTCCCGGGCGGGGTGGGCTGTCGGCCCCACCATCGGCGATCACGGGCGGTCTGGGGACGACGTATACTCCCCTGAACCAATCCATCCTGACTCCTAGTGAGGTCGGAGTAGGCAAAGATCGGACGATCGCGCGGCATCGCCGATACATCGACAATGCATCGGCGATGTATCGGCGATGCACCGGCGATGCACTGGCGATGCATCGTCGACGTGGGTGATGCATCGGCCATGTCGACGCGAAGCAAATCGGGCTTCACATCGAGCCGCATCGGCGACGCATCAGCGATGCGGATCGATCCTCTGACTCCATCAGTTCCGACCCCATATGGGAAGCCTAGACCCTAGACCATCGGGCCCCGGCGGGAAAACGGGCTCATCGCTCCTGCCAGGAGCCGCGCCGCTGCTTGCACGCCACGCTGCGAAGCCCTAGCCGCCTCGCGCGGGGAGAAAAACAATGCACTGCGATTTCTGACGCCTCCGGCCATTCCGGCCCCATCTGGGAGGCCCAGACGCTCAGCTTCCGGCCGGTAGCTCACAGCTCGGCTCTCCAGCCCCCGGAACGCCCTCGGCGAGGCGCCGCCGCTGGAAAAGGCACCTCGAGCTCGGAAGACCGTCCAGAAGCCAGGAAAACATGCCCGAAGGCCTCCGCGGACACGAGGGGGGAGGACCCCCGAAAGACCCCCACGGGAGGGGCAACGATAGGGGGGGACTGGCAAAGGGGGGATGCATCGACCTGGAGTCGGCGACGTATCGCCGATGGATCGGCGATAGGCCTCCGATGATGAAACCGCACTTTCCTGGGCGGGTTGAGGGTATCGGGCCCCCATCGGCGGTCAATGGGCGATTTGGGGTCGATGCGTCCCCCTGATGCCTATCCCCCATATCGTTGCCCCTGAAGAGAACCCCTGGCGCCACGGACCAACGCAGAACAGCACCCGCACAACGGCCAATTTTCCTGCCAGCCTGAGCCTCCTGAAGGCAGCACAGCAGAGAACGGCCCGCAGGGCATCACGAGCGGCGAACGTACAGTGGAGGCCTGTCCACAAGAAACCTGCCACAAGAAACCCGACCCCGAGACTCCAGGACGCCCATTGTTTTTTTGGTGTGGGCACGTCACGCTTCTCATCGCAGAGCCATCCAAACCCAAGAAACCCAGGGCACCCTGGGGGCGAGCAATGTGTTTCTTGGCATGTTTGGACGCCCGAAAGGGGTACGGAAATAATGGGTACCATGCCCAATAACAAATGTTGTCCCAAACCAACAGCGGCCGCTGTTGGGCAGGCGGCTTTCTGTCTCGAATGGACACAGGCCGCGGCTGCGCGGACAGCGGATCCTGTTCAAAATGAACAGGAATTGCGTTGGGCATTGTGCCCATTCTTTCCGCACCCATTTCGGGCGTCCAGAGCATGGGCCTCCACTGCAGGCGGTCGCACGGATGCATTCCGCGCGGGGCTCCTCCGCGGGGTCGCGCGGCGCAGGGGCCCGGCCCGCGAGGCCGTGGGTACACGGGCACGTGTTCTACCCACGTGTGGGCGCCCCTTGGGAGGCTGCTTGGAGGCCCTGTTTGAGCCTGTCGTGGTGGGCCTCTCCATGGTCCTGGCGTCCAGGGCCCTCGGGGATCGCCGTTGGAGGCCTTGTGGCCCTCGTCGGTTCTCTCGAGGGCGTCCTGGGGCGTCTTGGAGCCCTCCTGGGACCTTCCTGCAGGCCCGTGGGAGTGGTGCCAGGGCTGGCCCGGGTTGGCATGCGGCCCTCGGCGCAGGGGTGCGGCAGGGCCCTGGGAGCCCTCCTCGCCAGGAACCGCAGGAGAGGCGCCGGGGGTCGGGGCGCGCTGGCCTCGCCCCCGCCCCCCCTGCCCCCCCAGACGTCCGACGCTGTGGCTTCTTCACTCCGTGGCACCAGAGCTCCCCGATCCCTCCCAAAAAGGGGGCAGCTGTTCGCCCCGGGCCTGCCTTTCGCCGCCGCGGGGCCCGACAGCGGCCCCGAGAGCCCCGAGGCCGCCGTCGAGGAAACACGCCCCGATGGACAAAAACCACAAGTCGTCGTCGGAGATCTGGGGGCCCTCCGCCCGCCCCTGACAGCTTCGGCGGCGGCCCCCGGGAACGACGGCGGCGGCGGCGGCGGCCGCAGCTGCGGGTGGCTCCAGCGTCGTGTGCTCCGCAACCTCTGCCTGCGTGTAGACAGGCCAGGCCCGGGCGCTGCAGTCCACCTCCGGAGGAAGAAGGGGGGCGCTGGCGCTGGCGTGCGGCGCTGCGTGGCAGGCGGCGGCGGCGGCGGACGGCGACGGCGGCGGGGGCGACGACGACAGCAGCGAAAAAGAAGGACGGGCGACGGTCGACGACGACGGGCGAGTGGCGGCGGCGACGCCCGGACGACGACAGCAGCGACGAAGAAGGACGTGCGACGGCCGACGACGACGGGCGAGTGGCGGCGGCGAGGGGCGGGCGGGAGCGTGGCAGGGCGGAGGAGAGGGCGGGCGGGCCTCCTGCCTCCCGAGAAGGGGCGGAGAGCGACGAAGCACACGCCAAGAGCAAGAGTAGGGTCAAGTCGATAAACCATGTAATTCACTGATGATCCTAACAACTTTTCATGTTTTGCATCGTCGGTTGCAGTCGCCATCACCGTCACCGTCGCCGTCGCCGTGGCCGTCGCCGTCACCGTCGCCGTCGCCGTCGCATTCGCCGTCGCCGTCGCCGTTGCTGTCGCCTCTCCATCGCCGTCGCCGTCTCCGTCGCCGTCGCGGTCGCGGTCGCCGCCGTCGTCGTCGTCGCCGTCGTCGTCGTCGTCGTCGTCGTCGTCGACCTCGTCGTCGTCGTCGTCATCGTCGTCGCCGACCTCGTCGTCGTCGTCGTCATCGTCGTCGCCGTCGCGGTCGCGGTCGCCGTCGTCGTCGTCGTCGTCGTCGTCGCCGTCGTCGTCGTCGACCTCGTCGTCGTCGTGGTGGTCGTCGTCGTCATCGTCGTCGTGGTCGCGGTCGTCCCCCTTCAGGGTCGGCGGCGCTGCCCGTAAAACCTGCATAATCGATAACAATGATGCACGAGAAAAGTGCAAGACCCTTGGACGCCCATGTGGAAGCGTTTCGAGCGGGGCTGGCCATCGGAACTGGTCAAGGATGGACCGAAGAGGCAGGGATGCAAGGGTACCCTTGGGATGGTTACCCATCCCAACTAAAAATCTCGACTGTAGATGCTGGCTCTGGGGGCCTTCCTTGAGTCACTCCTCTCCTCGTTCCACTCAAGCTAAATCCGAACTGGAATCGAACACGTTCGTCAAATGGCTCCCAAGAACATCATCGACGCCCCCCCCTATGGCGGGGCGCCCACCATACCAATCCAATTCCTGATTCTCACCGTCAAGAACCCGTATATGCAAATACTGCAAATGGGAACAGCGCTACAGCGGCCCAAGCACGAGGCTGGAGGCCAAAGGGCCTGTGCGAGGCACGACCTCTCAACTCCTTCCCTGCGGCTGTCATTTCGCCCCGAGTGGCTCCAGAACGAACACGCGCTCCACGAAACTGTTGACAAACCTATGGTTTCTTACGAATTCGCAAGAACGCGAGCGCATGTTTTTTGTTGAGGGTGCTGAAACCAGCGCCCCGCCTGAGACATCCTCACAGTCTGCTCTGATAACCAAGGACGTCGAGACAGAAAACAGGCAAACCGCCTGAGACATCCCCACACAATTGCTGCGAACGGGACCGTGAAAACACCCCTGGCGGCTCCCCTCGGAGGTGCTGAAACCAGCGCTCCGCCTGAGACATCCTCACAATCTGCTCTGATAGACAAAGATGTTGAGACAGAAACCAAGCAAACCGCTTGAGGCATCCCAACAAAATTGCTGCGAACGGGACCGTGGAAACACCCCTGACGGCTCCCCTTGGAGGTGCTGAAACCAGTGCCCCGCCTGAGACATCCTCACAATCTGCTCTGATAGCCAAGGACGTCGAGACAGAAAACAAGCAAACCGCCTGAGACATCCACACAAAATTGCTGCAAACGGTACCGTGAAAACACCCCTGGCGGCTCCCCGTGGAGGTGCTGAAACCATCGCCCCGCCTGAGACATCCTGACAATCTGCTATGTATTGAGTAAGTCAGAGAATCAGAAGGTCTGAGTATGAGTAGGTCTGAGTAGGAGTAAGTCTGTGTATGAGTACGTCTGGGAACGAATCTGAGTATGAGTAAGTCTGGGTATGAGTGAGTCTCAGCATGAGTAAGTCCGAGTATAAGTAAATCCGAGTATGAGGAGGAGGAGAAGAGGAGGAAGGAGTAGGAGGCGTCCAAGTAATAACAAGAACCCCATCTTCGGATAATAGGGAACAACTTCACACTGAAAATTCACAAGATGCTCGTCTGCGAGACCCCTCTAATGCTGCCGCTGATCTTGCGTGCCACCGATCCTTCCTCCGAGGCGGCCAAGGCCCCGCCTCGCCGAGGCCCTCCAGCGCCCGGCGCAGCTCCTCCAGCCTCACCGCGCTGAGCCCCTTGCCGGTCTGCTTGTCCTCTGGCGGAGGCGGCGCCGCGGGGGGGGGGATTCTCCTCCTCGTCCTCCCCCATGCCTATCCGCCTCCGCCTTCCTGCTACTCCGTCCTCACCCTCCTCCTCCTCCTCCTCCTCCTCCTCCTCCTCCTCCTCCTCCTCCTCGTTCCTACTCTTTCGCTCCTCCTCGGCGCTCCTAAGCGCTCCCAGGCGCTTCTAGGCGCTCCCAAGCGTTACTCGGCGCTCTCAGGCGCTCCCTGGCGCTCCAAAGCGCTCCCAGGCATTCCTACGAGGAGGTCACAGCTGCTCAGTGGAGCGCCTGATTCCTCCTTGTTCCTCCTTCTTCCTCCATTCCTCCTCGGTCCTCTTCCTCCTCGTCCCTTTTTCCTCCTCCTGGCCGCCACCCGCGCCCCGAAGATGCAAAATATAGCTGCACTGGGGGCCGCTGCGCCGTCTTGCCGTCTTGTGCCTCGCACTCTTTTCCCTTCGTCCCTTGTATTTCCCTCTGTTCTGTCTCTTGGGGGGCCCCAAACGGTGTGGTGACCACACCGAAGGGCGAGACAATGGGGAGTCGTGGTCACCGCACGGTTTTGGGACTCGGGTCGTTCTCCAAGGATGTCTCGGGCGACTGGGACCTCCAAGGTCTCAACACCGTGCGGTGACGGACCGCGCGGTGAGGCCGTTGGGGATTCCGAGGTCACACGGTGGTCCGTCACCACAAGGATTTGCGCACCCAGAGTCTCTTGCCGTTGTCGTCGTCCCAAATCCTTCTCTCGCTGCCGTCGTCCCTACCTGTTCCAGGCCAGCGTGCACGTCGCTTGCAGGATCTCGGCTCGCAGGTGTCGTGAAGAGGGTCACTGAAAGAGAACACGCATTGTCAACACGATGTTGCTCTCAGCGCCATTTCCCTTTCCAGGTATGCCAGCTGGCGTCTTCGGCGAACGAACGCTTTGTGATAGTGAAGGGTTTGGTATTGTACAAACATTCCTATCGCCATCAGTGCTGTCTGCATCGTCTGCGTTGTCAATGGGACATGGGGTGAATTCGCACTTCTACGGGGGGGGGCGGGGGGCGGGGGTATGCGCAACTTCGGATGCCATGAACAGCGATGTGCTCCGTACCGGCAGTGAGAGGCGCACCAGACAGCGTATGCCAAATACCTGTTTCGGAACTGGCGGCGCGGCACGATGTCCCTCTTGCGTGGTGTGCGCCGTTGCAGCCAGCTCTTCAACGCTCCTGGCGCAGACAGTCCCTGTTGCCGGGTGTGCAAGGATGACTCAGAAGGGGAGCGCACACGGGGCTACAATGATGATCCACAGAGAGGCCAACTCAGCCCAGCCCAACAGTCCGCAACGTTGGCAGGGTCACTTGGAGCATCAGCTGGCCGCCCTCGGGAATTTTGTTGCGCGCCACCGCCGCAGCCCGCCTGAGGAAACGGAGGAGCGCAGCGCTGGTTTTTTTCTGATGCTTTCGGTGGCTGCCGGTGCTTCGAAGGGGTTCTTGTGGGACTTGGCCGCCCCTCTGGTTGCCGCCCCTCTGGTTGCCCTCCGTGCTTGCCTCACCTATCCCCCCCCCTCAAACTCATCCCTGGCCCTCTCGTCGAGCGCACTGCAGCAAGGCTTTCGAGGCGGTTCCAGCGAGGGCCCCTGGAGGCCCAGCTGAGACCGACCATCCCTTATTCTCTTGCACAGCTGTGTTCTAGAGCTCGGGCTTCATTCTTTTCGTCGTCGTAGTTCGCTCGTTCGTCGTTCGTCCTCCCCCCTGGCCGTCCTAGCCTTGCCCTGGCCCCAGCCCTCCCCAGCTCCCCTCGCTCTCCCCCCCTGGCCTCCCTAACCCGCTCCCTGGATCCAGCCCCCCTCGCTCTCCCCCCCTGGCCTTCCGTTCGTCGTCCTCCCCCCCTCCCGCCGCCCCCTTAATCCAGAAGCCGCATTGAAGTGATCATTTGTTTTTTGGCCCCCCCTCTGTCACAGAGGGGGTCTGAGATGCCCCCCCTCTGTCACAGAGGGGGTCTGAGATGCCCCCCCCTCTGTCACGGAGGACCTCGTTCTGGGTGCTCTTCTGCCACGGGAGCTCCCGATACGATTGGAGACGATAAAATGCGATAGCGGGATGGGGGATTGGAGGGGGAGGGAGAAGAAAACGATGAAGGAGAGGAGGCAACGACAACACCGATGAAAGCACCGATTCTTTTTCCTTCTCCGCTCGGGCAGCGGTCGCCGAGCACGACGGCGCGCGCGAGTCGCCGCCGCTCACGATGCATTGGCAAGGCCTCCGCTGCTGCGGAGGGTCGACGTTCGGCCGATGAGGCCTCCCTCCGCTGCTGCGGAGGGGCGGCTCCTGTGCGATGGTTCAACTAAGCTTTTCCCAGGGATTGGTTTCGGGGGGGGCTTCGACCCACCTCCAAGTCGTGGTCGCGACCTCCACCCACTGTGGCTGCTCCACCAGTCACTGGGGCGTTGGTCGCTGCCGAATGCAACTTGCATGTCGCGCCAGGCGGAGTCGACCATGCGGTCCTGCAGCGAGGAAGCCTCGCCGCTCGGCTGTTGCCACTCGCGCTCCTCGCCCTCCTTGGTGCGCCACCACTCATCCCTGCGCCACTCCTCGTCTGTTGGTTGCTGCCGTGGCGTTTGTGGCCTCCGCTGCTGCGGGGGCTCTGGCGGCTCGTGGCCGAGGGCAGCGATCGCGTCCGAGATGTAGATGGCGGCGCCGCGCTGCCCTCGCTGCTCCAGCGGCGCAGGCCCTGGAGATGGGCACTGCGGGGTCGGCTGCCACCTGGGGGGTGATAAATAATTATTTCTATATCCCCTCCCTGTCAACTCCCGCCCCTTCCCGACACTCATTTCCTTATGTCATCCCTCGTCCTGCTCAGCCTATTCCTCATTCCCTCTCCTCCCTCCTGCCCTCCCCGTGCTCCACCGCCCCTCTCCCCCCTCCCCCTTTCAACCCCCCGCCGCGACCTTCCATCGCCAGCCGCGGGCATGTCGCGGCCGTCGTCCGCGCTTTCGTCTGCCCATCTTGGTGGGCGCCACGCCTGTTGGGCGCGCTCGTCTTGCTCGTCCCTCTCGCTGTGCTGCTCTGGTGCCTGGCGCTCGGGTCCGTGCTGCTCGGGCGGCAGCGGCGCCCTGAGCGCAGCTGCCAGCTGTTTCTGGGCGCGCCTGTCTTTCTTCTCTTTGGCTCTCTCCTGCTTCCTCCCCGGCGAACGCACGCTGGCCATGCGCATTTGGAACAGGAGAGGGTAGTGGGCGCCGCCGTGCCAGCGCCCCTCCACCTCCACGGTCTCTGGCGGGAACGTCTTCTGCAACGCGCGGAAGAGGGTCACCTCGCGATTACTAGAGAAGCGGTGGTCCCCTCTAGCCTCAGCCTCGGCGCGCCTCAGTTTCTCACTCTCCTTCTCTTGGATCTTGCGTTGGCATTCCTCTGACTGAGTCAGTAAATCCTGGAGGTGCTCGCGGGCGTCTTTTTTCGGGTAGTAGCAAGAGTAAGGCATCCCAGGGCCTCCGTTCTGGCTGTGGTGCCAGTACGTCGGCTGCGATGATGGGCTGGTGGCGGCCCCCGCTGCTGCGGGGGCCTCTGCCTTGCTTCTGTTACGGTACCCGATCTCACCGATCACCGACTTGCGTGCGAAGAGCAACCCCGTCTCGTCTCTGTCGTGCACGGCGCTCAGCGGCCAGCACAGGGTGTACTCGCCAGGCCTGTTGAGAACGAAGATGCCGCAGCTGTCCAAGCACGGAGTGCCGTCCAATCCGCGCCAGAAGTACGCTGCTGCCGTCTCCAATCGCATGCCTAGACCCCGAAGACTCGGCAGCGTCCGTGTGAGCGCCATGTTGAAATCCCCACAAAGGATGTCAACGCTGTTGTCCTGCAAGATTGTCGCCAACCTCGGCCACCACGTCTTGTGAGCCTCGTTAAAGCCTCTGGAATTTTTCGCCGTGTCGCGGTGGAGGTGCACCGCGCACACCCGCACTTTCGAGCCGAAGTGGGCGTAGGTTTGATCGAAGTAGAGCTCAACCACCATGATCCTCGAGAACGCTTCCATCTTGCGCCCTCTTGCTGTTCTGTAGTGGCCGTCGACACTCCTTTCCCAGTGGAGCAGCCGCATTTCGTAACACAGATTTGCGCGCGCAGCGATGCACAAGGACTTGTCCTCACGCCCGCGCAGGGTCAAGTATTCGTACTCTGGTCGATTCTGGAGCTGTTGGCAATCGCCAACACTCGCAGCACGACTTCCTCTTGCTGTCGCCATCGCTGCTGCGGGGGCGACAAAAGGCCCACCGCTGCTGCTGCTTTGGCCCTCCGCTGCTGACGCCCCCGCTGCTGCGGGGGCGTCCGCCTGCAGCGGCGGTGGTCTCCCTGGCCGCTGTAGGATTGACTCCATCTGCTCCTCACATTCCGCAAAGCACGCCACGAGAGCAGGGCAATGCCGCAACTGCAACTCAAGTCTCCGCCGCTGGTCCGCGTGGTTGGTCTCGCTCGGCATGGGACCCCAGCTCCCGAACAGGACGGAAAGGTTGCCCACGTTGTCGTTCCGTGGCCTGTTCATGTCAGCCGCTCTTCTTTCGCAGAAGAATGTTGGCGGGACGGTGTCGCGAAGAACGCATTCGCGCCGCTCGACGTCGTTGGGCGGCCTGCAGCCCCTAAATTCCTGAGGCTCTTCGTCATCGCTCGGATCCACCACGGAGTCGCCTGGGCGGGTGCGTATCGTAGAAACTTCTGATCGCGCCGCCGCTGCTGAGCTTGAGACGCCAGGCGGCGCAGCCCCCGCTGCTGCGGGGGTGCCCTCTGGCACAAGGGCCCAAGGACCCTTCCAGGGTTCTGCCTGACCACCTACAGGTCGCCAAACCTTCCCAGATTTCGCTGTGAACACTGCCGTCAGTCGGCCCCGAGGCCCCGCTGCTGCGGGGCCCAATGGGCTGCTGCTGCTGCTGGTGGCCGCGGCCATCGCTCCCTGCCCCCGCGTTGCAGGGGGGGCGGCCGTCACAGCCGAACTCCTGGGGCCGAAACGGCGGTGGAAGGAGGGGGACGG